ATCTAAACGCTAAATAGTCACAGAGATCCAAAACCAATATTCACAACTCTAGTTCTTTTCATAAGCTATATATACACATTACATTAGGATTTTCAAAATCCTAATATCCTAATCCTAATACCAAAATGTTTATCCCCACCACGTTTCGCCTGAGCCTTTATGAATCAGTTAGTCAGCCAATCACTTATTTTTTCGTGGTTATATCTATATGTAGATTTAGTATCATTTAGTATATACTCTAATCCTACACTTAAACTGTAATCCTAATTGCAAATTTCATGATTGCAATCCAACACTCCAAATTTGCAAAGCTACCTCCATACCTCAATCATATAATGCCAATGAAATCTTATTTCCAAATTTCAGAATTCCGGCCCTATCCGTTCACCCAAATACAAGTTGTTACAAATTTAGTATCATGTAGTACACATAAGTATGAATTTCCAAAACTTTCTATACAACCTATCCAACCCTCTAACAAATTTTAGGATTCCAACTCTGTCGATTAAAACTGTACCAAATCTAGTACTTTTTAGTACATATAAGTAAAAATTTCCAAAACTACTTCCATATCCCAATCCTTCACTCCGACAGTTATCTTATTTCCAAACTTCAGGATACCAGCTCTATTGGTTAACTGAAATCCATATTCTTCCAAATTTAGTCTATTCAGAACACATAGGTATAAATTTCCATAACTACCTTCATAATACAATGCAATAGAAATCTTATTTCCAAAATTTCTGGATTCCAAATCTATCGGTTCTCCCAAAATTAAAATTGTACCAAATTTAATACCATTTAGGACACATAACTACGAATTTCCAAAATTTCCTACATACTCCAATCCAGCAATACAACAGTTATAATTTTTCCAAATTTCTGGATTCCAACTCAATCGGCTCTGCCAAATTTTAAATTGTACCAATTTTAGTACCATTCAGTACACATAAGTACGAAATTCCAAAACTACTTACATAACTCAGTCCTACAGTGCTATAATAATCTTATTTTCAAATGTCAGCATTCCAGCTCTATCGGTTCATCCAAATCGAAATTGTATCAAATTCAGTACCATTTAGTACTTTTCGTGCACATAAGTACAAACTTTGAAAACTTACTCCATATCTCAATTCCACACTCTGCCAGTAATGTCAGTCATTTCAAATTTCTGGATTCCAGCTCACCCCATTCCATCAAATTCAAATTGTACAAAATTTAGTACCTTTTAGTACTTTTCGTATACATGAGTACACACTTCCAAAACTACCGAACTCCTCAACCTTGATTCCCACATCACATGATATGAAATTGTACCAAATGTAGTACATTTTAGTACTTTTCGCACCCTTGTAGTGCGAATTTCAAAAAAAAAAACGCGTTGGTACATCTACTAACACTCCATCATCAGTGACCCTCATTCCAATTTTGAGTGTTCTAACTCTACTGCTTCCTCAAATGCAAAGAGTACCCCTTCTAGTACGAGTTTCTGACACCTTCGACAAAGAGTGAACCTCACTCAAAATTTCTAGATTCTATATTCAGCCGCTTCGTCTGGGCGTTGGTGAATCGTTAAGTCAGTCAATCAATTTCTTTTATTTATATAGATTTAATAGATTTGTATTTTAAGAACACTTTTTCAAGGGCATTCAATATTAAAATAGTGGATTTTTTAAAAAAATGTTTGTAATTAAAAAAAATAATAGTGGAATTTATGATAATAAATTTAATGACGGATCTTAATTTGATCCGATTTTAAAGAGAACAAGTTAAAAAGCAGTTAGTTCGGCCGGGCCGAACTTTGAATACCCCCCACGATTTGGAACGAATTTAGAAAAATTTCAAAAAATAAAATCCGTTAAAAATTCTTTTAAAATCTTAAAAATACCGAATATAGCCGTCATATTGGGGTCTATACGACATGGACCTACATAGGCTTTGTTTGTCATAAGCCATTCCCATATTCAAATTCGAAACTTGAAATAAACCGTCAATAATGTAGCTAAAATTATCAAAATACCGTATATAGGGAGGTATCGTTATATCGGAGCTATACGAAGACCTAGACCTGCATAGACAATTTTCTGTCATTACATTATTTTCACAAAATTTTCTGTCGTAGTCTGTAGTATTCATTTCGAACTTTAAATACCAAATTTGAAACAATTGACAATAAAAGTTTTTTAGAACCATCAGTATTTTATCCGGGAATGTTAGCTGTTTGAACAACTTATATTTTTATAGGGTTAACACTGGCCAATCATCGCATAATTTCAGTTTATTTTCCATGCTTTTCAAAGAACTTCCCTGCCTATTCCCGTTTTTATTTTTTAATTCATATTCCTATACAAGTTCATGAGTTAATATGTATGCATATAAATATACTAGCTGGCCCGGTCCGCGTTGCCGGCCCGTAGTTTTTGTTTATTATGCATATTTTTTAAAAGCATAATTATTCACAGATGTGACTGATAGAAGTGTTCGCGTACTGGTCGATTAAAAGTGTTTTAAAATATCTGTACCCATTTATAACCGTGTGCTTCAAATGTGTGGATGTGCTAACAAATCTATTAAAAAGTATATATGAATCTTATCCCCATGTAAGGGATCAAATTAATTTTTAGTATTGTAAAAATCGTAGCAAAATTTTACAGTCAAATGAGAAGTAATTTGGAATTTACTGTATTTTGTACACCTCATAATTGAGGGCTGAATGATTTAAGAATAGGCAAAGTTAATTACTTTTTTAAACCCATTAGCACCTTAGATTGTGCATTAGAGTCCTCATAAGTCCCCCTAACCATGTCGGTCTGTTTGTCCGCCAAAAGGTGGACTTGAGGGTATACTATTGCATTGAGAAAATTCTAAAATTTGTGAATATGTTGACATTTTTGTGTAAGATTTTCACCCCCCGAATACACATTTTTAGCCAAATCCTTTGAAATATGGTAAAATCAGGAGGTACCTTTATATGGGCACTACTCCGAAACATCGACCTACTTTGAAAACTTTCTTCTACCCCTTATAATCCAATATGACAAATAGAGGCCAAATCAAAAATATAGGTATTTTACACCCATTACCGTAAGATGGGAAATAATTTTATTTTCCATTTAAATTGTAAATTGGAGACCCCATAAAGTCCATATTTTTCATCATAGTATAATTCAATGTCCATTCAACAAATATTCGGTCCCGTACTACTTTCTTATATTTGTAATTTGTTCATGTTTCCACAATTTATTTCATATAGATGTACATTCCAAATCTACGTTCCCAACCAATATTCTCTTGGGGGTTACAAATTCAATAGAATACAAAATTTTCCTTTCTGACCACACATTAGTTGTGAAAGTGGACTTGGGGATACTCCAATGTGGAGACTTTACTTAAATAATTCCTATGTGGCAATTATCTGTATGATGGTTCCCTTCCCCAGGGTAGCATAACAAAAATTTTTAGCCAAATCAATTGATGAATGTGTTCAAGACCAATATGGGCCCTACTCTGAAAATTTCAAATTTTATGCGAAGAGGTTCTGTACCCCCTTAGACACAAAGATGCCAAATAAGGGCCAAAAAATAAAAAGGGACTAAGACCCCAAAAATAGCTTGAATCATACGATGGTTATATAAATATAAAATCGGGTTGTACCCTTATCCGTGAGTTATGATCTATATCATGACCTGCAAAAGCGATTTAAGGTATCTTGAATGTTTGGGAAGAATTTCTGAGAGGATAGAAATCCTTTTCTTAATAAAAGTCCCAATCGCTCTACTATTTTGCACCTTTTATATTTGGTATTTTCCTGATGGATTATTGGACGGATTATTGTCACATAAAAAAGGTATGTTCACGCTTTGAGATGAGGCCCATTAGGCTTTTTTGGTCATTTTTGATTATTTAAATGTGTTCGCATCTTCCAGCTGAACCACGATATAGGCCCTGGAGTTGAAAGGTAGATGTCAGTTAACATCCTATTACGCACTTATTTAATTTTTTTGTTGAAAAATTGTATATAGTGAAAAATTATTCTTTATTTTGTTCACAAAAAATCAACTGAATTCAATATGATAATACAAATTGAAAAAAAAATTGACAAAAAAAGAATAACAAATTGTAAAAATCTTCAACTTGTTACCTGATTTTTTACAGCAAATGTTTAAAGATCCTTACAAAGTTTGTCAATATTTTAAAATCGATTCCATTTCATTTTAAAAATCGATTCCATTGAAAAAAAAATTTTTTTTCGATTTTTTCCCGATTTCAGAATTTGTGCAATGAGATCTCTTTTTCGTGAGTTTTTGGCGATTTTGAAAAAGTAATTATCTTTTAACTTTGGTGTGACCGCGTTTAATTATTTCGATATCCTCTATTCCGTTTCGCCACCGCATAATTCGGTACTACACTTCCATGTAACCCGCCATCAATTTCAGTTCTCAAGAAATCAAGTCAATTAAATAAATTGGTATTAATATTCGAATTCAAAAATAAAATATAAAAAACACTACAAATGTACATTAGAAAAAAGTAAGTCAAAATGGAAAAAAATCATGCAAAATAAAACATTACTATTGTACAATTCAAAAGTCAAAATGAAAATGTTAATATATCACATTTTTACGCGATTTTTTTTTGGATATTATCCTTTTCGGAAAAGAGACAATTCCGAATTTGTTTGAATCGTTAAAATCTGTCCAGCGGTTCTTAAGTTATAAGCGTAGTAACTAACACAACTTCCTTTTATATATATAGATATGAATGTTTTGTGGAAACAAATAAATTGCTTATTTTTATCCTCTATTCTTTTGAAAAAATAATCTATTGAACTCTGCCAGTCAAAAGGGGTGATTGGAGTGTCCACAACAATTGTGACGTAGTACAAATTCAGATGGCGCATGACACAGACCCGACCGGCTGGTTGGCTAATGGAATTTTAATATCCTTCTTTTCTACTCAATAGAATTGAAATAGTATCGATTTCAATTATTATTACTTACCAGTGGCCAGGCCCCTGCCGGATAGATTCAATGCCCCCGTTTTCCAAGCTAATTTCAATAGCTTGTCGGAAACGGCGGTATTGTCTTCAGATTTTTCACGTTTATGGAATACCGGGTTAAGATTCCTTAGTGTGGGTCGTTGAGAATGGCGGCGCATGGTTGTGGTGGTGCTGGGGTGACTTGTGGCGTCAACGACACTTACGATGAGTCAAGGATTCAAAGAGAGGGGATATGTGAGATATTTTTGTGGGGCAGAAATAATATGTCGTTTTTTTTTTTGTTTTGTTTTATTGACCTTGATTACTTAATTTTCTTTTTTATTTAAATTCACTTTTCTCTGTAGAGACGACACAAACAAACACAACACACAAAGAATGCTAAATACTTTGCAATTAAAGTGTAATTTTTATTGATGTCACGCTTGGTTGGTTGCTGGATTGCCTTTGCCCGGGCGGCATTTCACGTTGCCAATGGTCACAGAGAGTGCAAAAAAAAAAAAAAAAAACAACAACACGGCCGAAATATATTAATGCATACAAAATTTAAACTTTTTTAGCAATTTTCAAATTGAAAAACAACAAATTTCAAGTTTTCATAAGAATCGGAAAACAACAACAGTAGCACACCTTATCTGATTAATATTGAAAAAATAACAATTTCACATCTCTTTTTAAACTAAAAATAAATATACCAAATTATTATGCCCTCATAATTTTATCTGCAACCCGGCCTCTCCACAATCTTCTTCATACACACATACTCTCTGCACTATGATGAGTTCCGTCACGGATACATTTGGGGGCCCAAAAGAAGAGTCCAATCACAAACAACCCCACCAAATAAAAATATTAAAATAAAAAGCGAAATTCCATACACTCAAACAAACGAGACGACGAAGTCCGCAATGCGTTTAATTTTTGTTTTTGTTGCTGAATTTTGAATTCCACTTGAATTTTGCTGCGACCCGCTGCCGATCCGTTAGGGCTTCGTTAAAATTACAAACTAAACTAAACTAGTAAACTAATTTTTGTTGTTATTATTTTTTTTCTCCGTTTGTTGTTATCTCACATTTCGTAAATTTACAATTTTGTTTTACTTGTTTGCTTCCACCTCAATTCGTTGTTGTTTCTCGAGTGTGGCTATTATTTGACAGTTGTATTCGACAGATACACATGTGTGCCTTGGGGGAGAAGTATTAGGGAAATTGAGTGGCGAATGAATGAATTTATCTCTCTGTTTTTGTTGCTCTTTCTTTCACAAAAAAGAGGTTGCCATATCGCAAACGAGCGCCATCTTCATGTGAGACGTTGAAAATATACACAAATTGGTATGGTTGTTGATATAGATAAAAACGCAGTGCATACACAAGTCAACCAACATTTGACACCAGATTTTTTTTACATATTTTTTTAAGGACGATTAAAAAAGAAGACGGAAAGAGACATATTTTGGAAAAACTGCAGATTTTAAGAATGTTTTTGAATAGCATACCACATACATAATGGTGGATTTTTCAAATAAGTTTTTAGAAAAAAAAGCAATTAACAATTGTAAGTGTAACAGTAATATTTTATTTTTAACACTTTTTGAATTCGGATTATTTCTTCCAAATGGTCAGACCAATTGCATTAAGATTTTTTGAAAGCATTTATATGAGATTTAAAAAGTTAAAGAATGACCGTCTAAAAAATAAGCGTGGATTTTTGTAATTTTTAGAACGAAAGTCAAAGCAATCATAACACTGCCACAAAAAAAAAACTTCCTATAAACGGAATCGTAGCAAGTTAAAATATTGCACAAAATCGCAATAAGTTTTTTAATATATATGGATTTCTGGTGTTTATGTAAGATTTAGATTCTTGACCTCTACTAGGGCCAATAGTAGAATTTCATGACAAATAATTTTGTAGAATATTTTGACTTGCTGCGAATCCGTTTAAAGGACTACTTGCTTGTTAAAAATTTCGACAAAAATATACCTTGTTTTTTATTTGCAATATTGCAGAAGGCATTATATATAACAATATAGGAATACAAGGAATCCTAATGCGAACATTTCAAAAAGTTTCGAAGAGGTTGGAACTTGCTCTCTCTATTTTGGTTACTTTTCGATGTAAACTTACAAAATGCCGATACACGTGTCTTCTTTTTTAAGCTCTACTTTCATAAAGTGCTTGATAATAATTTTTGATTTATGTGTGGGGTAAAATTTGATTTTTATACCCTACAACACTATGTGTTGGGGGTATTATAAGTTTGATTGGGCCAAAAATTATGTAACACCACGAAATATTGGTTTCCCATATAGGAAAGTATATATGGATCATCCTAGCTCGCCGAGCTGAGTCGATCTAGCTATGTATGTCCGTCCGTCCGTCTGTCCGTCTGTCCGTCTGTCCATGTTAATTTGTAATCACTCTACAGGTCGCAATTATGGCCCGATCTTCACGAAATTTGGAATGGAGGTCGGGGTTGGGCCAGAATAGAACCCTATTTCTTTTTGAGATGATCGCCAAATGTTTAGGGGTTGAAATGGACCAAATACTGAAAAAATGTCGGATTTTGCAGTAGCTATACAGGTCGCAATTATAGACCAATCGACGCGGAATTTCGCATGTAGCTAGAGTTTAGGACGGGGAAGAAGCCTACCAATTTGGGTGGTCATCGGATAATATTTAGCGGGTAAAATAGACCATATATTTTGTGTTGAAAAAATTCAAAATTTTTCATTAAACCGCGAATATTTTAAATCCCAGCGAAATCCCAAAGCCATGACAAGGTTACTTCTGACCTTTACATTGATGTTAACATCCAACAAATCGGATATATAGCAAAATATGTGCGATATATATGTCTATCAAAGAAGATATGCTTGGAAAATCTCTCATATGTCGAGAACGGCTGAACTGATTTCGACAGTTCTCATTAATTCAGAATGGCCTCTTGGCTGGAAAGAAAAAACGTCTAAAAAAATCGCATAAAAATATCTCTCTAAAGATGAAAATATTGATTTTCTAAAATTTTCTCATATTTTTTCAATTTTGTCATATTTTTGGCATATTTTCATTTTGAATTAAACATTTGGTAATATTTCTACAGCTAACAAAACTAAGTAGTTATGACATCAGAATATCATATACAGATCGCATTTATGGCCCGATCCTTACGAAATTTTGCATGGGGATAAGATGAGGGTCAGAATAGAAGCCTACTCTTTTTGGAGATGATCGCCATATATACGAAAATGTCGATTCCAGTGACTTTTTGGAGAATTCACAAATACAGGAAAGACGCACTTCTGACTATTTCGTTAACGCTGATTTCGTTGAAGAATATAGTCAAATGTCTGTATCTCATATAGATGCGTTTCAGTCAAAAACCAATAATAAATGTTAATCTTTTGCCACTTCTAGGAGATTATAGGTCTTTGAGAAATATTGGTTCCAGATCTAGGAAGACCATTTAAGTGCAACATTAGTTGCTATTATTCGAAAATTAGAGAACGAAACCTGATGGTTATCTTTTATAATTTGTCACAATATCTTGTGGAATTCTTTCGAGTATCTCGCCTATATAAACTGTATCGTTTATTATAGTGTTGTAGGGTATTCAACGGTCGGCCCCGCTCGACTGTAGCCTTTGCTTACTTGTTTAACAATAATTTTAGAAAAATATGAGGTAAATAATCGTGGGTCTTTTTAGAATATTTAAAGGGAATGTCAGATCAATAAGTGTGGAATTGTAAGAATATTTTAAAATTAACTATCAGATCAATAATTGTGATTTTTTTAATATTTTAAGGAGAACTTCAGTGAGAATTTTTAAGAATATTTTAAAATTATGGACTTTTTAAAAATAATATTAAATGGATAATCAGACCAATGACCGGTGATTTTGTTACGAATAATTTTAAAAGGACTGTAATGTAAATAAGCATATTTATTTTTACAAGAACGTTTTGCTCAATAATCATATATTTTTTAGAAAATTTTTCGGAAGAACTGTCATGTCAATAAGATTTATTTTTAAAATAATATTTTTAGACGCACATTCAGATCAATAAGCGATTTTTTTCAAGAATAGTTTTACTAATCATTACTTTGTTAAGAACATTTTTGAAGGCACTGTCAGATCAATGAACGATTTTTTTTCAATAAGCAGATTATTAAGGTTGTATTTTTAAGAATATTTTTAGAAAAAATATCAGATCAATGATCGTGGATTTTTTAAGAATATTTTTAGAAAAAACATTTTCCATTTAATATTGGACCATTATCTTAGAATCCCATTCTATATTTCTCTTAGAATATCTCATATAAAACGTGATCCATGCAATCAATTAAAAGTCACCAGATATTGAGATTAGATTAGCCTAGATTTAAATTGAGAATAAAAAAACAAATAAATTTAAAAAAGTCAACAATTCCACAAAACTTGTGGATCAATTCAAAGATGATCCACGTGAACATGGCAAAGATATATTGACACAACAGAGAGCGTGTTAGTGGGAGGAGTATGGGAGGGTAGGATATACCATGTTCTAATACAACATTGTGTTTAATTTACCCATTGTGCGTACATGAGCCTAGGTCAAGGGCCTCAGAAGATTCTAAATGGGAAGAGGTGGAGCAAATGCAAAGCTCTTGATAGTATCCAAATCGGAACATAGGCACTTTGATTGTTATCAATCAGCTTAAATTTATTTAAATGATCTAACGTTTAACCGCTGCGTATTATTTAATCGTCTTTTTTGTACTCGATGTAAGGAACTGAAAGTGATAGTTTTTGTGATGCATGAATTTGAGAAGTCTTGACTTGTCTTGCGGTTTTGGTTTTGATATTCATTCATATCACGTGAAATTGTTGCTGTTTGAAATAGTCGGATTTATTGTCAAAGGGCATTGTCGAAAAGGGAGATGTTTGGTGAACGAATTAAAAGGCAAATTACTTTCAGTTCTACATTCTAAAAAAATATGTTTACTGTCGAGGTACAATGCTTTATATGAAGATCTTTGACCTTTGATGATTTTTGCGAAGGTTGATAACCGTTAAGGTTAGGGTCTATAGGCAAAAGACATTTAAAATTTTCTAGGCAATCATGGGTGTTTTTAGAAAATATCATTGACCTTTTATCTGCATAAGAAAGTGTTTTTGTATTTGGAATCCCGATGACACATTATATAAGTAGAAGATCCTGTAGATCCTGTATAGATCTGTGGCAGATGGGTAACTGAGGATTATTGTGTGTGAGAAATCATTATATGCTTCTTTAAAGCCATAATAAAGTAATATCAAAAATATTCGGTATGGCTCTTACCGGCTCTTACACACAGCTTAGAAATAATTCTGTAAAATTTAGATAAATCGGTTAAGACATATATAAATCTTAACCGATTTTATCTAAATTTTACAGAAGTATTTCTTAGCTGTGTGTATGGCTCTTACCGAATATTTTTGCAATTTCATATAAAGTATGAGATGCCATGCTTTATACCTTACATTTTTTACCCTCAACGATATGGCTACAGAGGGTACATATCATTTGATACGTCCGAAACGTACCTATCATTTTTAGATCCTAGGTCTACGTTCAGGACATTTGGAGTCGGTCTAGGTCCAGCGATAACTCTCGAAGGGAGTATCCTATTTGGTTCAAACTTGGTTCATCGTTATATTATTATCAAACATGCTAACACAAAATTAGGTGCGAAGAGGCTTGATATTGGCTCATCTTTTCATCTTTTGGCGAAACAATCTGGCGATTTTTTTCAAACTTGGCATGTCTGAAAATTTCTCTCAACTAGAAATTTGATGTGAATGTGGAAACTATCGACCTACTTCTCCCACACAAAAGATTATTAATTTTGATCAACAATTATTCGCATAAAAATTTAAAATAATTTCTTCAAATATCGTAGATTCCAATATTTTTATCAGTATTAGATGAATTGGATTACTTCGGTCCACTATATCTGGTACCTCATGCACATTTCATCATTTCACATATCTCATATAAAGTGACGAAGTAGTCCAATTCTGGCAAAGTGTAATATTTATATCAGTCTTAGTGCAGATACGAAATTAACATTATTAGTCCACTCCTTTGGACCAAAAATTATGCAAGTCAAA